AAAAAAAAAAAAAAATGACCATAATCATTAATTTCAACTTTTTGATGAGATAAAAATAAAACATTTTAACTATCAATTTAATTTTTTTATTTTTTAAATTAAAAAATTTTATTTTTTTATTTCTTTTTAATTAACCGGTACTTTGGACCGGTATTTTGTGGTTTTTACGGTATGATCCCAGTAAAAACCAGTATAACTGTAAATCTGGTATTTTGAGTGTAATTGTACTGTATTAATGTCCAATATCCGATATTACTGACCGGTACAGTAAGATAATTAAAATATTGATTATCTCCATTAAATATTATTCGTCAAATAATCTAACCTGATGTTGACTTTTTTTAGTTTAAATATCACCTTCTCGTGCTTTCGTTATGTTATACTAATATATTGCTTTGTAATTATGTGTGTGTCCATATGTCAATTTTTTTGGTGTTTCATAATTTCATGTGTTGATACATTGTGCTTCGTAGTCATATATGTGAGACCATGAATCAACTTATATGGTGCTTCCTAACCTTATATGTCCATTGTGTTGTTTTGTGATTCTATTTAGGATAATACCACCCATGTTAGACGGTGGGCGGACGTAGACTTTAAGGACAACAGTGACACAAACTAAAGTCAATTGTCAACTCCAAAAAAATAAATGGACAACTCAATATTTAACTATATATAAATAATATTATTGTATTAGTTCAAATTTGTTATATTGTAGGATGAAAAGGAAGAAGTTGGGAAAAAAAATATGTATTAATACAATTATAATAACAATAATATTTTCCTTAATTTTAGACTTTTAGTAATATAATGTGGAGAAATGTTAAGATAATCATTTCGGAGTTTGTAACCGTTAGATATTGTAACTGTCAGAGTTTGTAACGGTTGTTCTTCTTCTCGCATCTCCCCTGGACGACCAGCAGCACGACGTCGGAGACGGCCAGCAGCAAGATGCCGGAGACGACCTGCAGCACATCCTCGGTCAGCCCACAGGTCTCTTCCGCCGTCGCGCGGCTCCTCGCCGACGCCAGATCCCCGCGCGATCTCCACCAATTACTCACATCCTAAATTACAATTACATTAAAAATAGTATTTTTCTAAAAAAATTTAGGAATATATAAATAATCTTCTTCTCCGTACCTTCGTCTGGTTTTGCTAGGGCTCGGCAATAAACTTATAACGCAGCCTAAAATCCAATCCGTGATAGGAGAGGATAAAGTCCTGAAAATCCTATATATTTAGATATATTCGTAGGTGAAACTGAATTACCTCGTATAACCCAGATCGAAATTCGTTGCTCAGACAGAGAATCGTCCCTAACTCATAAGGTGAGGTCGACTTTGCTCAATTTTTATTTTTATTTTTTGCCTTGTGCTATTTAATAAAGATTGAATCTTTGAATGGAGGGTCGTTGAAAATCTAACACCTTTTGAAGATTTATGATTATTATGAGGGTTAACTGTTAAATAAACCCTAACCTTTTTGTATTTGGTAATTTTATCCCAATCTTTGGGTAATTGCAATATAATCTCGACCTCAATTTACTTATTGCAAGTCGAACATAGAACTGATTGAACCTTCAAAAAACTGGTCGATTTGAAAGCGGTTCGAATAGATCGGAGCTCATATTTACCGGTTCACTCCAGATCTAGGAGGATACTCATCACCGGTAGCTTACATTGACATGGAATTTTCGGCTTTGTGCGTGGTTATACATTGAATACGTGAAAATTGTCAACTTGCTACGTGGATGACATAAAAACTCGTGTCAATAGAAGACTTAGACACAAAATCGATCAACAAATCCGTAAAATCAATCACTCTGCACCCAAATTTGCAATAAGTAAATTGAAGTCGAGATTACATTGCAATTACCCAAAGATTGGGATAAAATTGTCAAACGCAAAAAGGTTAAGGTTTATTTAGCAATTAACCCTTATTATTATTATTATTATGTGCTGTGTCATTCCGATGTATTGGATTGGGGGGTTGTTTGTTTTTGGGTGAATTTTGTGCGATTTTTTGTTTTCTTGTTTCTTCATCTGATTGAGGATAATCATCCCTGAATTTGCATGTTTTGAGTTGAAATTGTGTGTTATTGCAGAAATTGAAGAATGGGTGGTAGAGTTGGATACGAATACTCTCACCACTTCTCGTTGGTGGACAAGAGCGAGATAACATCCATGTACAAGACGGAGCTTCTTCCGGACTCCAAATCGTTCATCTTCGAATTCAGAACCACCTTCATACTAAGGGCGAAAACCAGGCACGGCATGTCCGACTCGGTAATCGGTTCAGAAAAATTTGACTCGCGAGTTGGCAGTAATGAACGTGGCTTTTCACTTTTGATCCTTACTCAAGAGAGGCTGGTAGATTACTGGATGACGAAAGAGGAAATGAAATACCTAAACAACGAGGCGTATGAATACGCCCAAGAATTGGCCGATTTGCCCCAACACGCGTCCCTCAACCCGATTACTATTGCTGTGGACCTCAAAGTTTTCACGGTTCAGCAGCAGGGTGAGAAGCTCGACGAGTGCTTGGAGAGGGCAATCACGTCTGAGAAAATGATCCCATTGTACGTGTGGCCCTTCCACACATGTGTCGGTGAGGTAAAGCCGATGACTGCCTTGCTCCTTCTGTTCTTGAACAACTTAAAGAGGGTTCGGGTGGAGAATTCGGATCAGGGGTTGAGTCTGATGGAGAAGTGTGGTGTGTGTTCCAAGGGGGCTAAGGTTGGGGATCAGGTCTCGTTGCTCGTCTGCAAGCACGCTTTCCACTCGCGATGCGCGGTCTTGTGGTTGGAGGACTGCCGGTTTTGCCCGTGTTGCGATTATCCTGCGTACGCTTGGTATGTCGATCAGGGTCCGCCGTTCTACCGACACAAATGACGATTTTCTGAACTGTTTTGGTTGTTGGATAAAGATTAGCAACCCTAGTTTGTCTAGGCAAAGCATATACGATGCTTTCTCACTGTTTTTTTTTTACTTCTGTTCACTACTCTTATGGTACTTTAGATGCTTTCTCGTTGTTTTTCTTTACTTTTGTTCACTACTCTTATGTTACTTTAGCTACATGTGCTGCTTTCTATTTTTTCCGGTTTATTTTTGCCACAAGTTTGAAATGTTTAGCAATCAAGTTCCATTAGTATATGTTGAGAATGGATGTCTGTGATCCAAACTTCTAAAGCAACACTATATCATTCACTAAATCTTACTTACAAACAAGGTATATGTACTGAACATACGCAAACCTTGGAAGAGATGCAACATGTGTCCCTCTCTACCAAACACAACTATGGCTCAAGATAAAAAAAAACAGAGATGTTCAGCCCTCCCCCTAAGTACTGTCTCTAACCTATTCCCTTTCCCCTGTCCTTGAACAGCAACCGGAAAGAGACATACAAACAAGCAGGTCACACTTCTTTGGTCTGCTCTGGTCAGGAACATAATCAAAGGAAAAAATAACCGTTAGAGGCAAGATATCAAAGACAAGATATCAAAGACATTGAAAGAATGAAAATTGGTTTTCCTATACACACCAATCCAAAAGTCTGACCAGAATCACATGGTTTTGGACACAACAAATCACTGCACATAAAGCGGTTATCGACAAAAGAGATTACAAACAAAGGATGAGCCGGTCTTCTATCTTCTGTCTTCACCATGGTTCACTAGTAATGTAATAGCACTAATAACTGATTTGCTCACATTTCACAATATCTTGGTTAGTTTCATTTTCAGCCTCTAAGAATTGGAGGCAAGATCTCATTTAGGTCGAAATTATTAATAAAACTCAAGATAGTGACTTTCACATAAGAGGACTTGCGAAGATAAAAGAAACACAAAAATAATGCATACAAATGTCCATAATAATGAAGTCTAACTGATCCCATAATAATGTAGTCTTTTCATAGTAGTAGTAACCTTGTGAGATTCAAAGGCAAAAGATAATAGATAAAAGAAGAGGTAAAAGATCTGCGTGTCCACGAAGTTGAGGAAGCTGTAATCCGTAAGGCGAAGGGAAAGAGTGGAATATATGAAAGGTGGTGGGTGAAAAAATCGAATTCAGGCCCGTCTATCACGGGTTGTTTGTATGAACCTTATCTTTTGAATGATTTAGATAAATGAGGGTCAAAATGGAAAGGATAATCTCAGCTCAGGGTTTTCAATTACATACCACTCTATCATTTATTTAAATAGTGTTATAGGTAGTTTTAAATGGATCATCTAGTGTTCACTATTCAATATTTATAGTAGTGGTAAGCCATTTTGACATTGAGAAATGATCAAACAATCTCCATACTTTTTCACTAAGACATTTTCTAAAGTTCAAAAAAAATTTCACTAAAACAATTTCTAATGTTCTAAAAATGATTTCTAGTGCTTTCTTAAACATTTAAATAATATCTTGAACTTTATAATTAATTTATAGAATGTTTGGAATGTTTTTACAACACATAAACAAGTTATACAATTATTTTTTTGAATTCTACCAAAATATTACATTACTTTTTATTAAAATTTTAAGCGTATAATTTAACAAGCAAAATGACTATTATTAGTATTTTCAGAAAAGGGGATATATCTTTATTTGAATTAGTTAAATAGCTATAAAACCATTAGTTAATTGACGTGAGGTTAAATATGACAATTCTCTTTTCGCAATTACACCATGAACTTGGAGTATTTTCTATTTTGCATCTCATAGGACAGGATTGGCTATAAGTATAGGTAAAGACTAACCGGATTATTGCATTTTTTTTTTTTTTACACACTTAAGTCTTCACCTCAAAATCCAACTTTGGTCGAGTTTTAAGCAAATCTATTTTCGCGGCTATATGAAAAATATACGTTTAGAGTTTAAGGCGCTCAACTTGTGTTAGAACACGAATTATAAACTATGTTGCAACACTAGAAAAGTTGAAAATAGCGGAATCACAACAAAATATAAAAACTCTTCGGGGAGCGTCTCACAACCCCTCAGAACTCTTTCATTGATAATTCGATTGTGCACTCTTGTTAGTCTTGTAATTACAACCACTAGAACACCCTTCTAGCCTAACTAACAACTATACTCAAATCTACCAACTACTTCTCTGGTCACGTCCCGTGAAGTTAAAACACTCTCCATCCCTCGAGAATAACCAAGTTCTCAAAACAAAAGTGTTCAAAACAAAAAAACAAAAACAACTCAAAAGACAACACTGACGCAGTAAGAACATCTGATCACAGAACTGCGAAGAAAAAAAACAATAAAACACAAAAAACTTAAACTCTCAAATGAAGCTTGAACGATATGGATGACAAGAGATTCAGTAGCCTTCAATTGATCTTCAAGTCGAGTTTATATAGTATCCCTAGGCGTGTACTTCTCCAACAAGCTCTTTCCTTTTTCTAAATTCTCCTTGATCTTCTTTCCAAAAAATAGAGTAGTAACATGGAAAGTGGATATTGTCTTTGATCTCCTCAATCACGCGCATCTCCCTTTCCATCCGTTAGTCCATGAAGAAATCCTAAAAAATATAATCATACTAAGGTTATCCAAATCTAATAACTAATAAATTAGGGCCGAATATATATACATATATAAGTAAATAAACGAACTTTTCTAGGAACATATCTTCAAGAAACTTATTTTTGAACTTATGCCAAAAATAAATATCTTTCATTATGGTTGATCCAATGAATAAGTAAAAACTATTATTCGTCAAATAATCTAACATGATTCATATTTTTGGGAAATGCTACGATTCTATTACGGAACCATTCCGTTTGAGTTTGTAACTGTTAGATCATTATATAACCGTCAGAGATAGTTGATCTACAGTTACAAACCCGACGAAATAGTTCCATAACAAAACTGTAGCATCTCTCCATAGTTTTTTAGTTTAGATATCACGAGATATTATTCGTCAAATAATCTAACATGATGCAAACTTACTCTAAATGTGTTTCTAGTTTGAAATGTTCCCTATATTGCAAGGCCAAAAGCGTAATTTCAGTAAAATTTGGATAGGATAACAATTAACAACAACTCCACGATTCACATTTCATCCCCAAATTACAGAAGATTGAAAATTGAAATAGCTTTGGAGCTCAACAATGGCCGCTGCACTCTCTCTGTGTTCCACTCTCACCCCAAAGCTTTCCAACAGTCGAGCTGCGGCGCCATTTTTTCACACAAGGAACAATCTCTCCTTTCTCTCCCACCACACTCTCTCGTCCCTGACACTCACGACGCGCAAACGGCCCTCGTTGTCCTTCACCGCGAAATTGACGGGCTCGGAGAGCGCGGTTTCTGCGAGTGAGCCCGAAACCGAGAACTCGGGCCCGGAGGATGTGCCAGAGAGTGATCCCAGTGCGGAAATTGCTCAGCCCAAGAGAGAGGAAGTGTTCGCTGTCGTGATGGTGAGTGTTTTGAATGTAAATGTTAGCTTGTTTTCGGTTCTTTCTTGTGATATTTTGGAAATCCAGGTGTGGAATGAGAGCTATTGGGAATCTATATGACTTGTTTTGGGTTGTCTGCAGTGATTATGCTTCTGTTGATGTCTTGAACTTTTTCAGATATGATAAATATCTGCAATGGCATAGATGTTGATTGCTCTTTTTGCACTTATCTCTTGCCTAGGACCTAACGATGTGGAGTTCATTTCACATGTCTTTCCGATAAGTTTCGACTAGATAAGATCGTTGTGGCCTGCTGCTGAATGTTCATCTTTCTAATGGTGGCATTTTTTGCAATCAAAATTAGTCCTAGACTTTGACAAATGGATTTGGGTTGATGAAAATCCATTAAATTTTGATGTACTTTTTGCTAGGAAAACACTTGGTTAACACTCTGTTTGGTTCGTTTCTACCTTTTTGTTATTTGTTATGGTATATCTTTATTTAGTTCAAAGGCTAATAATGGGTGAACTGATTTTGTTCCCCACGTACACGATAAAAGTTATAAAATGTGGTGTGAAATCATACTTGCTTTATACTTCCAATGGCTGAATAGTTTCGATCCTATGTTTTCTTATTAATTTTGGATGTCCGAATGCTGGAAACTCAAGTACCATTTGCTTAAATTATATTTTGTGGGACATTCTGATAATAGTTAGTAGTTGACTTAGCGTTTTTCTCTTGTGTGAAATATTTCTTAGGTGGGATCAAGGCAGTACATTATGTTCCCTGGACGCTTTATCTATATACAGAGGCTCAAAGGTGCCAGTGTGAATGATAAGGTAAATACTGCTTCCTTGATGAGGAAAACTTGAGAATCTTGGAATGGTGAGTGAAATTTTCGTATTTTTGTTGGCATTATGCTGTCATGGTGTTGTTATGTATAAGTTGATACAGCTGGTTGAGTTTCAGTGCTTTGTCAACATTTGCTGTTTGTCCTACCAGAAATGCTTTTCTAAAGAAATCTTTTGTTATTTATTTGGTGCCTTTCTTGCTGCTTTATTTTACGCCTCTTTGTAAAATTTCCTGTATATGTATGCTAGTAAGGCATATAAGTCTGTATAGTGGTGACTTTTGAGAATCTTTGAATGGTGAGAAGCGAGTTCCATTATTTGTTCATGTTAACAATGTATTGGCATTTATATTATGTATTATAGGTTGATACAACGGGTTGAACTTTAGTGCTTTGTTAGCATTTTCCTTCTCTTCTCTCTCTGACGCACAGTCTTCATAATTTTTGTGTTGGTTGTATTAATTTTATGGCCCCTAGCAATATGCTGATGCAACTGATGGGGGCATATAGGTTGGTTCAAAAAAGTACCATATTATGATGTTTACACTTTACTTGATATCAATTTCTGCTTTTTTTTTTTTGCATCTTGTTAAACTTTTACCTTTCTGTAGGTGTTCAGTTGCCACCTCGAATTTATTATTATTCTTTCAGTCTTACATTCTTAAAGAAACTTTCTTTTTCTCACCGACGTAATAAATCTCAATCCCATTACAGATCATTCTGAATAAAGTCTTGCTTGTGGGAACAAAAACGAGCGCGTACATTGGGAAACCGCTTGTGCCAAATGCCAGGGTAGAGGCCATTGTTGAGGAACAAGTAAGATTTAATTAATATCAAGAGTGCATAAATTGAACATGTTCTTCAAATATTTGCATGAGAACTCATTCGTGCCCTCTCCGTGTGTAGACATTGGATAAGAAAGTTATTGTGTTCAAGTATAAGAAGAAGAAGAACTACCGAAGAAATATTGGACACAGACAGGTACTTTTTATAATGTGCTTTAAACCTCGGTTGAACAGAGTTGTAAGAGATTATTAGCAGACTGCAATTTCAATCACTGTTATCCTTCCTCTTGGCGTGCCATGCGTTCATTTTCCTGCTATCTGTCCGACTTCTTTTATTTAATTCTTATTTGTATCGAATACAGCCTATCACAAGAATACGAATTACAAGCATCACAGGATACCAAGACTCACCTGTTGTCACTCTTCCTCCAGCAATGATGACCTCTTAAGAAAAATGACCCAGCTTTTATCTTATTCGAAGTTTTCATCTTCATTTTTTTTTTTTTTTTAATTTTATTATTTCCTTTTGGCAGGATGGTGTTGTACACTGTTTAATTTGAACTTTGTTGAAAAATGAGGACTTGCCATTTTGTATGTAAAAAAATTATGTAGGAGGGATTTGAAGACAACATTTGATGCTCAAATCCTACTGTTGCAATATTATTCAGGGTACATTTCTTGCAAGTAGTTCAAGAAATTAACAGAATGAACATGGAAATATTTCTTTTGTCGCTTGCTATTTTAGTGACACAAATTATTGTACGACTGTCTAATCGTAGGTGAGTTGATTCATCTTACGTTTCTTAAAAAATGCCTACATTTTCGACAAGATGTCACACTTTTGGTTATGTCGTTTTTTTTCAGGATATGATAGTTCAATGTACAAGTATATGCTTGAAAAAGAATGTGGCTTAACTGTTATTCCTATCTAACACTAACCTGCGAGTTTCTTAATATTAGGATTTAGGCTATCAATTGTAATAAATGCGTTCATTCTTGAATGCTACACAACAATAATAACAATAATGATAACAATAATTAGAGCTCTGATAATTTTTTAAATAAATTATTGGTGGGAGAGAAGAAGAAAGTAAACTGACAATTGAAATATTTTGAAGGCACAAAGGTGCATACAAATGCTATGAGCACCAAACTATGAAATCATTTTGTTTTGGAATTGTGAATAAATAAATCTGCAGGGGCACCAATATAATTTCAGCTCCACAGCTTGATATCTGGAAGCAACAGACGAACTTCACAGCTTACACTAAACGAATCGAAATTGAACCAACATTCCAGGACCTATTCGTATACTCGCTTCCTCTTCAGAAGTGTCGGGATTAACAAAACAGAACCAATGAGAAAAAGTACAGCTAAAGTCTTCAAATCGTACAAATCTTTCACTGACTTAAGATCCCCAAGAGCAAGTCCAGCCTGATCAAGAAACCAATAAAAAGGAAAAACAAAAAACAAAAAACAAAAAAGAGTTATATCCGTAGGGCCCGGCAATGTAAAATTGTCGTTTATCTGGTGAGTTGAATAAAAAAGCCCGAAAATAAATGAAGGAAAGCTCATACCCTGACAGTAATATATGAAGCTGGAACGAGACCAACAACGGTAGCCAGAAAGAATATGTGAAACGGGACATCGACAATTGGTGAAGCCAAGTTGATGAAAAGATTAGGCAATGTGGGAGTCACTCTCAGAAAAAGCATGTAATTGAGCAATTTCTCTCTCTGCTTTGCTATCTGAAGCCGATAAAAAATGTCACAAGACAAAGATCAAGAGTTTAGAATGACGAATATTTGCCAAAATAGAAATGCACAAAACTGTCGCTACATTACCCCGAATTTTCGAAAATTACAAAAACCACCTTTTTAGTTTGATAATGTCCGACTCTTGTGGCAAAATTGCATTTTCAGTCCTGCTGGTTTAATGACATAGCATTTTTAGTCCCAAGATTCCAATTTTTCGCCTTTTGGTCTTGTGATTTAGATTTTGTTGCAATTTCAGTCCTTTGCGTTGAATTTTTAAATCACGGAACCAAATAGCAAAATTTTCAGATCTCATGACTAGAAACGCTACCGAATCAAACCAACAGGATTGGAATTGCAATTCTGCCCCGACTCTTATCTCCCTTCATAAACAAGAATGGATATTGAAGAGCCCCCAATATTTATAGAATCATGTTTCAATGTTTTACTCTTTTTCCATAATGCACAAAAAACCTATGCAATTTCTATTTTGGGGCACCCAATAAGCAACCAAGGATATAGCGAGAAGAGTAAGCAATTACTATCTTCTTCTCGGCCTCTAAACTAATAATCCGAATAGTTGCAATAAGTGTTAAAAGAAAAGTAAAATTATACCTCTGCTTGAAAATATCTAAGCTTTTCGGGCCACAACCAGTTGACAATGGGCCTCCCGATTAGTTTAGACAGAAAATAGCAGGATGATGCACCCGCAGTGGCGTTAAAAACGACCAAGAAAAGGCCTCTCACGACTCCGAAAAGAGCTCCAGCCAGTAATGACATGAAAATCGTCCCGGGTATCATGAATGTCTGCATGAATATGTAAGTCGAACAATAGCCCAGGATGAACTTTGCCGGGTATAATCGAGCATAGCTTGCAAGTTGATCTCTGGAACATTATACAGGGATGCAAGCCATGAGAAAACGAGACATTTGGAAACTGAAAAATATTTTTAGGACCTTATAGACAGTGGACTATAGAGTACTTGATGCTAACTTTTGCAGGCAGCTAATACACAGTATGTGAATGAAATAAACATTGTACAGTATATTTTACTATGCTAATTCATTAATTTGCAATTCAACTAGCATAAAATAAACAGGAAATCTCAGAGAAAACACTTTATGCTCTAAAGAAAATTGATTTACTATTCTAATAGCAGGCTATATACCCAAACAGTCCAATGGTTTTACAGTTCAATACGCAGAGAAAATAGATCTTCAGCTCTTGATACTCAAGTTCCGCTCGAGCCCTTGTCGAATCAGCTTAAGTTAACGAGCCTTAATGAGCCGAATTATATCAAAAGTCCAGGAAATTGCATAAAAGCCCCTATTTTTCAATCCCAACGAGCTCGGCTCATTAAGTAAACGAGCTTTGAGCAAATTGTTTATCAAACGAGCCAAGCTCACTAGCAGCTCTGTTTATCCACATAATAACATAAAATTTCGCAACAACATATCCTAAACACATCAATTTTTGGATTTGAGCTAAATAAAATGAACAATGGAAATGTAAAATTAAATCAACGGTGAAAAAGGAGACACAGACACCTTACTTGAGCAAGCGGAGGTCGGCAAGGGTGCGCGGCAGCCGGAGCATCTCGTACTCTGACGCCGGCATCGTGAGGAAGATACACAGCAGCCCGGAGCAAAATACCAAAAACACCCCCATGGCCGCCGCAAACTCCCACCTTGAGAGCGGGTACCCGCCGGCTCTGTACTTCTTGTCTGTCGGGGTCTCCGCGTCGCACCTCTCGTCCTTATCCAACACCCTAACGACGCCAGCCTCCGCCGCCGCGCCCCGCGGCGCCGCCATGGAAATCGACGGGGATGGCGTTGACGGAGGTCGCAATCGATTGTTGGGCAGCGATGAGTAGCTCAGGATTTCCAACACTCATGAGAATTGTTTGCTCCAGCTAGTGAAAGATCCAAAGCAAGAAAATGGATAAAATGAAAAATTATATCAAGCTGAATCGAAAATAAAATTGAAATTGCAGAAGGAAAAAAAAAAGCTGGGATTTTTATCAACGGGATTGAAAAAAAATTGAGCTGGGGTGGTGTATAATTGATTCAACCATGAAGAGTGTTCACAAGAAAGGGGATCAAGAAACGAATGAATTGTTGAATATTGGAATTAACAAATGATTTGCTAAGTTTGTGTTTGGCTTTCTCTGTATTGTGCGCATGTGACAGAGATTTTACACCAAGAAACCTATAGCACAAAGTGTCAAAACTGTTGTTTGAAGTTTTGAAAACAAACGCAGCCTTAGAAAGGAAATTACATGTGTAAACAAGAAAAACCGAGTTAAGCTCGAGCTCATGTATTCAGTCGAGCCAATTATAAATGTGCGGCGCTTGAACCTTATCGAGCTGACCTCAAATTCTCGGGGACTGCGTTACAGAAAAAATAAATGAAAATCATCGAGTCAAGTTAAACTCACGAGCAGCTCGTTTAGTTTCAGAGCCCTACCTTGTCAAAGAATCAAAGCCAATAAAATATTAAAATGTACTATGAACTTATGTTAATAGATAAATTATATAAACCAATACATAAAAATAATATGCACTTTCATAATAAGAAGTTCATAATTCTATTTAAAAAAGTACAAGACTCAATTATTAGTCAACTATTTTCATAATTTTTGTCTCTAGTAATATTATGAAAAGCAATATATAATGCAAAATTAATATGGCATGTGATAATAAATCATGTAAAATTGTAACTATATATTCATTGAATTTCCTTAATTCGAAAAAAAAATAAAATAAATTATAGCTCAAAAACAATGACAAGTCAAGCTTCACAAGAACATAACTCAAGAAGCCCACAACTGAATTACAAAACCCCCAAAAAAGAAAAAAAATACAGTCAGAAATTCAGAAAAACCATACAATTAATAAAAAATCATAAGCATATAAAAAAAAAAAAAATGCAACCCTTTTTGCATGGATTTTTCCAGTGTTATTTTTTACAAATTTCACCTTGAAATAAAAATTCAGTGTCATGACCAAATCAATGCACATATTAATTCTAGCTAGCTTATAAACCATCAGGAAAGCATTCTAATACACATGAGCTAAAATGGCTATGAGAATCCATCGAGTCGCCGTTAGGAACTAACGCCGTGTTTGGATAATTAACGTACGACGAAGATCCAATCAGCCTGTCGAAGCTCCTCCAATCTTCGCAAAATTGATTTCCGAAATCGCCCTTCTCGTCTTCAATCTCCTCGTTCGCCATAACAACGCTATGTTCGAAACTATTATTGTCGTTGTTGATGAAGCTTGTTGAGATGGAGGGACTGTCGAGCTTCGGTAGCTCGACCATAATTTGGCTCTCGAACGGGCCTTGGTGAGATTTGGAGGGAAATGTGACCGGATTAATGAAATTCGCGGCTTGATCGTAATTAGCCATGAGATTCGGGGTGTTCGGGTAGGATGGGGGTTTGTAGGTATTGGCGTTGTCCCTAATGTAGTAAGCATTGTTCCAAGCTTCGAAGCCTTGCTTGTGGCTCGGGTTCGGTTTTTTGAACGCGCGGCAAACGACCCATCCTTCTTCCTATTGATTCAAATAAGTGCTTTTTTAGTAAGAATAAAAAGAGTTCTATTTAATTAATTTATCAACTCAAATGAAGAATATTCAAACAAACATCCAAGTTTTGACTTGAAAGAAAGAAAAAAAAAAAACATTTGAATTAACATTCTTTGATCCAAATGCAAACTCAATTATAGTATTTTTATTACAAGTTGCTATTGCTTTATTCACCTGAGGGGGTCCGTGTTCGGATGTCTGAAGACGATATTCGTGCATGATCCAGTCGGTTTTTCTCCCGTTTGGCGCTCGTCCTTTGTAGAACACCAAAGTCTTTCTCATCCCTATGACTTTCTCCTTGCAGAGAACCGCTTTGTCTCTCCCGGTCGCCTTCCAGAAGCCAGCTGTCGTCGCCCGATTGGTCCTTGTCCCGGTCGGGTACTTTCGATCCTTGTGGCTGAAAAAGTACCATTCGTTCTGTTCTTCATATCCCATTTTGCATCTATCTGAAAGAATATATAATGAAAAAATAGTATGAATTATGGGATTTGAATTTACCAATATTTCTCTTCTTTTTCTTTGAACAATCAAAATAAGATAAATCAATTATATGATCAATTCTTGTTGTTTAGTTAGTTACCTTCAATATCCCATGGCTCCATTTTGTAGAGATCAATATCAGCGATGACATTGAGCTCGATTTTCAGCGAGTTGATCTTTCGTTTGAGATAGTAGTCGACGAGCTCTTCCTCTGTCGGGTGAAATCGAAAACCGGGCGGCACGCGAGATTCCATTTCCATCCTTGTTGATATATCCTAGTAAGATTAGGAAAAATAACACAAGATTGTCAATAAAGGGAATATAAATGTAATTTCTTGATGAGGAAAAAGTTGAGTGTAGAAGAGAGTAACATTCACACAACTCTTTGTTTTATATGAAGAAAAACATGTAATGATTTTTGTGCAAGAAATCCACTCGTGACCACTATGAGATCAATGGTCCACAGACTTTGCTGCATGTGTTTGAAATTTGAGGAAAAAAAAA